CCGCAGCCTGCGTGAGCAGCCCTGCGGCGTCCAGCGCCGGCGTGCTCCGCAGAGGAGGAATGGCCGTGTCTTTATTTAATTGAAGCTTTGTCAAGCTTTGATTTTTATTTTTTTTGTTGTTTGTTTGTTTGGTTTTTTTGTTTTGGCATAGGGGACAGAGGGACTCTATCACTGGAGATTAAGGAAGCTGTGAAAAACATTTAAATTTCCCAATAAACTGTGAAAATCAGTTTTCCGAGTCCTTTGAACTGCATAGTTACTGGGATCTCTTTTATTTAATTGAAGCTTTGTCAAGCTTTGATTTTTATTTTTTTTGTTGTTTGTTTGTTTGGTTTTTTTGTTTTGGCATAGGGGACAGAGGGACTCTATCACTGGAGATTAAGGAAGCTGTGAAAAACATTTAAATTTCCCAATAAACTGTGAAAATCAGTTTTCCGAGTCCTTTGAACTGCATAGTTACTGGGATCTCTTGCGTATAGCTAATCTCTAATGTGGCACAATGAGTGGATGTTTTGACTGTAGTTAGGGTGAGCTTACCTGTACACGTTACTGTCCTTTGTTAACAGGTATGGAGGCAAAGGAAGCAGGTTCAGGTCAGGCGGAACGTATGAACTAGTGGTTTGGTAGGCATCTTCTGTGTGAGGTTTTTATCCCACTTCTGCCATGTAATTGTTAGTCTTCTCTGCCACAACAAAATTTGCAACTGATGTTATTCTTTATTCTGGATGAACTGGTGCAAGCTATAGAGAGTTAAGCTTGCTCTTTGCTTTCAGTGCAAATTAACTCCTTGATGTCTTTCGCAGTTTGGGCTCTCTTAAAATAGGCCTACATTTTTAGTAAGTTTAATTTACAAAACATTTCTTTAGTCACTGGGCAAAATCCAATCTTGTCTAAAGGTCTTTTCATCTAATTCCTTTGACTTACTTTTCTTGAAGGAGGGCTTTCTAATTTTGAAATTCAGGCTTACTCTAATTAGTACCAAAAATAAATAAAATTGAAGCATCTTTTGAAGACCTCTTTGCAAGTAGCCGCAGAGTAGTGGACATCGTGAAGCCTCTGTGGCAGCAATTCCAGAGTCACAGGACAAGTGCTGGGAGCACTTTTTTATCTCTAGCCCTGGGGAAGTTCATGCAACAGGTAACTAAGGAAGTTGACAGACAGACCTTGTAGCTCCACACTGGGTAGGTGAGTTTCCAGCTGGTATAATTTCTACAGCAACTTGGCTACCGTTGAGTACTGGAGCTTTTAAATTAGTGTGATGCAATAGGTTCTGGTTAAAAGTTCTGTCATAGTTTTATGAGGACTAGATTTCATATGGGATGTACCAAACCTGACCTGTAATGTAGGAAGGGGGAAAAAAAGGACGTCACTAATTGTTTCACAGTCAGTTATAAGTATAAATGAGTCTTTTAAATATTTGCCATAAGCTGAGTTTTCTCCATGGTAAATCACTATTAACAGAACCTATATTTAGCACCCTGGTTGTCTGAAGAAATACCAATTTGAACTGCAGAATTCTATTCCTATTTAGTAATACTGATTCGTCAGAACTATAAAATGCAATATGCAGTATTTTATGAGAACAATTCATGATAGATTGTGTGGAATGAAGAAAATATATAATATGGCATAATTAAATATTTTATCCCAATCCATTATTGTATTGCTTCATCTCTGTTTTTTTTACCTCCTGAATTAATAAGAGCACGAGATTTTTAATACCGATACTAGGTTAAGATCATTAGTCCATTTACTTTGTTATTTATGAGGACTAAATTCTGGCACTCTTGGAAAAAGCTCCTTTTCTTCTTAAAAGAATACATTCCTGAGAGCTGACAAATTGGTAGAATGATGTTCCTGGGTGATTTTACTTTTAAGTTTGGTAGGGTTTTTTTTCCTATCACCTTATTTTTCCCAGCTTAATAGTAATAAAATACTAATAATTAGGGGTTTTCCCCCAGGTGTAATTAAAATTGATATGGATTTACAGTACCAAAAGCAAGTTTTAATAAATTCTAATCTCGTTTCATTAAATAATTTTGTTTCTTGTTTTCAGGTAATTGAAAATGGGAACTGGCATGGGAAGTGACCATCTTCTTTCAAAATTCAGTATTTGATGAAACTTGTAATTTTTTCTGGATTAAATAATACTAGAATTTTTGAATTTTTATCACATGTAAATCTGTATTCATGGTTTGGTAGCCATGCTTCATTTATATGCACCCTTGTGTTTTTTGCATTATTTTTCTCCATTTTAATATATCTCAGTTTATTAAAATGCATAATTTGCTTCTTAAAATGGTTGCCTTAGAGTTGGAAAACACCTTATTTGACAGCCAAATGGTGGCATAATTAAAGCACCTCACCCTTCTTTGCCTGGGCTACTAGCATCACATGAAATCTCTCAACCTGTAGGCATTTGGGGGGAGCCCTCTGGAGATGCTGTGTTCTGATAATCTCCAGATTGTACCTGCTCTCACACCGTCACTTTTGTCATTAGCTGGGTCAAGAGGAAAGTTGGGAGATTAAAGGTGGATTACTTTGGTTTGTGTTAGTGTGGCACAGCTGGATGTACAATCTTTGTAAAAGGTCTAAAATGGAAGCACTTCAGAGGGTAAGCAGAGAAAGAAAGCAACAGAGCATAATAGGATAAGGTGTTTGGTATATAATTTACTGTCATCTGGCGTAATCTAGCTCACAATAGTAAAGAGTAGCACAGAAGAGCTAAGTTCTTGGAAGGAAAAAAAAAAAAAAGTGTGTTAAATGCATGTTGGTTCTTTCAAAGTAGCTATTTTAACCCGAGTTTATTACAAGGTCAGAAACTATACAGGGTTTGTGTGTTGCGTTTTTTTTTTTTTTTTTTTTTTTTAAAAGCATGTGTCAGTGCTGTGATTCATGTCACATAGATCACAGAAGCTATGCAGGTGTAGAAGTTGTATTACTTAATCACTTCTTTTTTTTTTTTTTACACCTAATGCCAAAGTTGCTTGTTTTGCTTATGCATTTTCTGTCAGCTGCTTTGTTTCTCTTTTAGCAGCGCAATGGAGTTGGGAGCTGCTAAGCTGCAGAGGTAGGGAGATGAAGCATCTGGGAGACCAGCAGAACAGCTGTGAGGAAGGCATGGCAGGAGCATGGAACAGTTGGCAGAAGGGGAAGTCTCTCTTCTGAAACTTGAGAGAGTAAGTCATTAAAACTGCTGCTGCGAAGGACTCCTTTGAAAAGGGGGGAAAAAAGGTTTAATTGAAAGAATGGAGAGGAAACCCTGTACAATGAGAAATTAAATAAATGGAAAGGGTTTTCACATTGTACTTGCACAGAAAGGCTGGGTAGATTGTATATATAAATATAGTTATTAGCTAAAATACTCCTCACTTCCATGTGTTCAGATGACAGTCATATCCTTGGAAAATGAACAATACTGTATGAAATGCTGTTGAAAGTATTTTGTAATTTGGATATGAAAAAAGGCACAGCTTGAGTAATTTGGAGTAGTGTGTGGATATATGGTAATCAATTTAAAACAATATCTATTTTCATTCCCATGTGGATTTAGTTTTAGAAAATAAATAAAATTATCAAATCATGATCAATGTGAGAATTTTAAAATGACATTAAGTATCAATATCAGAGGACATTTTATGATTTGTGTTTTATATAATGACACTTGCCATTTTTTAAATGTTTGGACTACTTTCTTCTTTCTGTGTGGAAGAAGGAAGAAGGAAAATTCATTTGCTTCCGTTCTTCACATTGGCTAGTCCATTTAGGTCCTAAACAAAAACTCTTGAATACTGTTAGAAGTGGTGGATATGAGTTTTGATTGCAACTTGAGATGCTGGTCTGCAAGCTGTGTATGCATAGTGATATGCCTTTTTCTCATAGTGAATATTTTTTTAAAAGCATTTCTATTACATAGAGTATGTGGATTTCATATCACATATAACTATGTATATCTGGACCTAAGACTTGGTTCATTGAAGACTGACAGTAATACAAATCCAACCAACCTCCTTCAGCAGCTGCATAATCATGGAGCTACTTTAACTCTGTAGGCATATTCTGATTTACCTGAAAGGCTTCACAGCAACTGTAGTGCTTGGTGTGTGTAACTAGGGACTTGAGCCAATCGGAAATGAGTTGAGGTGTCATCTAAGCCTTTTAAGGGACTGCTCCAATGCGAATACTTGGATAATTCCTTTAAAAAAAAAAAAAAACACCAACGAAACAACAACAAAACAAACCAGAGTAGCAGCGGACACTGTTATTCAAAACCAGGT